AGAAGAAGGTTTCTGAATGGGTTGCTAATCTGTCCCTGAGAGAAGAGGATGAGGCGATGTTATATGTCTCCAGGGAAGAAGAGGAGGCGATCATTAAGGAGTTGGAAGCCGAAGAAGATCCCCTCAAGCCTCAACGATCGAAGAAGAGAAGAAGTTGGAATGGAAGTTGCGTCTGACCAGGGAGAAGAAAGATAGAATGGAGGAGGCGAGTAAGGCAGTCAAGGAGTTAGAGCTAGTGAAGCAGCAAAGGGCGCAACTGAAGGCGAAGGAGGATTCGCAGGGAAAGATGGAGCTCATGGCGAGGAACATCGAACTCCTGGCAAGGGCTCACGAAGAGAAGTATCAGTTCTCGAGGGGCCAGAATGTCGCCTTACGGTACATACGATTGGGGTGTAGAGAGTTCGCACGCGAAATGATAATGCAGGTGGGCTCAGAGGTGAAGGCGAGACTATAAAACACGGAGCGATTGTGTAGAGGCGCCATAGAAGGCGCGAAACTTGCTGCTCCAAGGGAGGAGGAAGTTTGTCCCGGTAGAGAGCCTGTAAAGGTGAAGTTCCCTGATTCCTACAGTGGGAAGAAGGAGGGAAACTTCGATAATTGGGAAACAAACGTGAACTCCTATGTACACCTTCAGAAGATATCTCCTAAGGATCATGTCCTCATTGCCTTCCATGTCCTTAAAGATGAAGCAACTAGCTTCAATAGATCGCTTTGTCGTGCTGCTAAGTGCGAGAATGATATGGTCGCGTATTTCCTAATTACCCTCTTAATGACTTCTTCATGTTACTGCACGAGAGGTTTGCAGATGTCACGGGAAGTGTTAGAGCTTCTATCAAATTGCAGACCATCCATTCCCGCCAATGGAGGAGTGCTAGAGCACTCAAGGGCGTTATGGATGAACTGGTCCCCGTCCCTGACCATGGGGTAACTGAAACCCAGTTGGTCAACCTGTTTTATCGTGCCATGCCCGAACCTTTGTGCGAGCACTTCTTTGAGAAGAGTAGGGAGTCTACCATGACCTACGATACCCTGAGTAGGGAAGTGATAGCATTTGATGCGCAGTCCATGCCAGTTCCCACTTTCTGAATAGGGGCACGAAATGGAAAGGCCGTACCATCTTGGGTCAGGTCAAGGGCAAGGATCACCTGATCCTTACATTAGACGAGGGTGGTATGGAACAGGTCCCTTACAGCCAGATAGAGTGGGGCCTGGAGAAAGATGACAGTGGTGGTAGTCTGGGGAGGACTTACGCTATTGTTGCGGTTGGAGGGAGACCGCAAGGTAAAGGAGGAGGCCTGGGCCCAGGGGGCCAGGCTTCTGGTGGTCGAGGACAAAGTGATCAGGGGGTTGGTGGCAGAGGAGGCCGCCAAGCGGGAGGTAGGGGTCAAGGTCCCCCGCAAAATGGCTCTCGCTTAACTCGGTCGTCTCCCAGGAGGGGTGGATGGCACTCTGACTTGCCGCAAGGCAGGCCTTGGGAAGATCTGGGCCTATAGCAGACAGTTTGGCAGAGGAGGATAGATCAGGATCAATGTATCTATTGCAATGACCCTGGCCATATTATTAAATATTGCCCTAAGTGTAGAGACACCGGGTTTGCTGCATAGGCAACAAAAGGCAACCGCCCGTAGGGGTTGCAACTGCCCTTACCCCTAGACCATGTCGAGAAGAGTGGGCGCACCACATAGAAACTCCCAAACCATATGTGTCTATGGCAGAGGTTGCTGGCCAGTGCCTAGATAGCTGTTTAGAGACTGCCTCTGTTAGAGTCTTTCTAGGCACTTACCTCACAGGTGTGGCAAAAGAGTTGAAGGAGAGAATGCCTGCTTGGGCCAAGATGAAGAAAGATGCGAAAGGACAACTAGTCTTAATAGATGTAGAAATTTTTAGAGGACGAGTAGGGGCCTTGATAGATAGAGGGGCCACTCGTAGTTATATTAGTAGAAAAGCGCTGCAAAAGCTGGAGTTAAATATGAAGGTCCAAAAGGTAGAAGACCCCATAGTCAACATCCTCGCAGACAATCGCACTATGTGAGTCGAGGATTATGTAGAGGGAGTCCAGGCATACTTTCGCCTAGAGAAGAATGGGAAGGTGGAGAAAGTTCTCCATTCCCTGACTCTCCTCGTAGAGGAGAGCCTTCCTTTCGACATGGTCCTAGGAATGGACTGGGAGAGGCAGCATGGGCCACACTCCATTTAAGAGAGCACGAGTGTCGGCTCATTAGTCCATCAGGGGAAGTGGAGACTGCTCGCCTGTTTCATGTGTTAGGTGTAGACAACACCCTGGCACGTTGCTGTCTCAGTGCTTCCGCGTTCACGCGATTAGTAAAGAAGGAGCAACTAGAAGAACATGTTTTCATAGACTATGTTAGACCTGTCGCTGAGCCTACGGAAGAGAAACCCCTTGATCCGGCTATTGCCAAGTTGCTGGAAGAGTATATAGATTTACCTAAACTGCCTATAAGAATATTGCAGCGGTGAAACCAACATCACATTGAGATAGAGCCTGGCAGTAAGACTCTTAAGGGAGCTATCTACAGAATGTCCCCAAGGGAGTTAGTGGAGCTGCACAAGCAGTTAGACACACTCCTCGAAAAGGGTTGGATTAGGCCCAGTTCATCTCCATTTGGAGCACCTATTCTTTTCGTTCCCTTGAAGGAGGGAGAGCTTAGAATGTGTATAGTCTACAGGGGTCTCAATGCCGTCACAGTGAAGAATGCAAAACTCCTGCCCCGTATAGATGATCTGTTAGATCGGGTGTAGGGCTGCAATACTTCTCTAAGATAGATTTGAAGTCAGGGTATCATCAGATAGAGGTCCACCGTGATGATCAGTACAAGACGACATTCAGGACTAGGTATGGGCATTACGAGTTTATAATTATGCCCTTTGCACTAACCAACGCGCTAACAACATTTGAGCACTGTATGAATGATTTGTTTAGGCCTTGGTTAGATATATTTGTAGTTGTGTACTTGGACATTTTAGTTTTAGTAAACCCTCCAGGAGCATGAGGGCCATGTAAGCCAGGTCCTAGAGAAGCTAAGGGAAGCTAACTTCAAGATCAACGTGAAGAAGTGCGAGTGGGCCAAAACACTAGTCTTGTACTTGGGCCACGTCTTAGATGGAGATGGCATAAAACCTGAGGACAGTAAGATAGCAGCGATTAGAGACTCGCCGACGCCCCACACACTGACAGAGTTGCGGTCGTTTCTAGGCTTAGCCAACTACTATAAGAAGTTCGTAAGGAACGTTTCTACCATCGCTGCACCCCTTTGCCGGTTGTTAAGGAAAAAAGCAATCTCGGAGTGGAGTAGAGACTGTACCTCGGTCCCGAAGAAGTCAAAACGGACCTTGATAGAGTATCCAGTCCTCAGGGTAGCCGATCCGTCGTTACCTTTTGTCGTCACCACCGACACAAGTCAGTACGGTATAGGCACTGTTTTACAGCAAGATGATGGCAATGGTATAGACCCGTCATTCATATGAGCATAGCGAACTTCAACAATCAAACAACATCATACATATGAGACCAAATAGTCGTGACCTCGAACCAATAATGAACTCTTGGTGTGTTCTTATTTGGTGAAATTGCATCACGAGTTTCACCAAATAAGAACACACCAAGAGTTCATAATTGACAATGCTGAAATAGTCCCATCATCATCATCAACGAAGAACCAATGTTGATATCCTATCTGGCGCTCGGCGCCCAGACTACAGATGGCAGATCCTATCTAGCCTATACTACAATGCGAAGATGACGACAACAGCTTCATCGAAGTACGAGCAGATAGCGGCCAATGCCGCACGCTTCCAGCACCAGGTGTGTTTCTCGCTTCACTCACAACCTCGTTCCCCAACACACAAATGCCACATGCACCCAAGGACCACCCTGCGCCACACCTAGCTCACAACAGCGCAGCTCGACTGTGGCTGCCTGCTCCTTCCCTGCTCGCCCGTGAGCGTGTGAGCGTTGGCCAGCAAATAGCGCAGCAGCGCTTGCGCAACATGCAGCCAGCACCCGAATGCCCAATACGGAGGCAGACCCTTTGCTATATGGAAGTGGCCTGCCTGCTTGCTTGTCCCAGGTTGCGCTGGGCCTTTCCCAAGAAGCTTCCGGTAGGCCCCGGTAGGCTGAGGCCCAGTCTACACAACTCAGGCCTTGGGCCTGTAGTGGTTGCTCGCACCCAACTATCAACGGGCTGTGTTTGGCCCATGCCTGAATTCCATACATTCACAAAGGCGGCCCAGGGCCTGGATTTTCTCAACCAACTGGTGCTGTGCAACTGCCTGAATTTCCTTGAGTTGCGTGGTGACCAAAATAGGGGCCCTCAGGCCCTCGTCGTGCCTGCCTTCACTTAGGGCGGCCGACGTAATACATGGCAGGGCCTGAAAAGGGGCTCCTCGGGGCTTCAATCTCGCATTCCCTCCATAACTTCGACAGTCCTCTGAGAAGTTCAGTCTTCGATAACCTGGCGCTTTCCCTTCTGCAGAGATTTCTCGTAGTGTGCTACGACTTGAGGAGTGGTCTGCATAAGTTCCTCCTGTGTGAACCAGCGGTCCTCCTTTGGATCAGTATGATGTCGGAACTGAACGCGGTACTGCAGCTTCGGTTTCGGAGGACGTCCCCTGCCTGTGGGTCTCGGAACTGGCAGCTCCCAGTGATCCACTATATCATCAATGTCCACCTCTCCATTCATGGTTGGGGGCAGCATTGAGCGACGAGAAGGAAACTCATCTGTTTCCTTGAAAGGTGCAAGTTTAGAGGCGTGAAAGACAGGGTAAGTGCGAAGATGACCAGGGATACGGACTACGTAAGATGGGCCATCCGGATCAGTCCCAGAAACATCTAAGACTTTCCAAGGCCCAAAGTACTGAGGCATAAGTTTGCGGGAAATCTCGTACTCCTGTCCCAGTTCTGAGGACTTCATCCAAACTCTGTCCCCAACCTGAAATGTAGAAGGGCGGTGGTGTTTATTCTCAGACTCTATCATTGCCGTCTGTGCCTTCTGCATTTGTTCTACCGCCTGCTGCATCTTCTGTTCATACCGATAGGCTAATTCTAAGGTACCCGGTGCAGCAGTTGACTAATTCTCGGGAAGAAGGAAGTCAGCCTAGGCTTGAAAGTCAATAGTAAGTTGTTTGGGCTCACACCGGTAGCGCTGTGTACATCGTTGTTGTACAGGCTGGTGATGAGAGCAAGCTTCTCATCCCAGTGGACCTGGTTGGGCTTGATGTAATGCCTCAACAGATGTTGTACAACGCGGTTCAGTTGGTCGGCCTGGGCCTCAGGCTGATTCCCAGAAGTCATCTGCAAGTGGGTTCCCTGCTCCGCAGCAGCGACCTTCCACAACTCACTAGTGAATCGGACATCCCTGTCACTTACGATGGATTTGGGCAAACCAAAATCCCTCACCCAGTTCTCTTTAAACAATCCGATGACGTATTCGGTCTTCGCAGTCTTTGGCATGGCTACTAATCTAGCATACTTATAAATCTATCCACAATGACGAAGATGTGTCTCATCCCACTCTTGCTGGTGACCAGCGTATCCATGAAGTCCATGGACAGGCTCTCACCAGGCCTTTCCGAAATCAGAAGGGGCTTCAGGAGCCCAAGAGGAGCCTGAGTACGTGGCTTGTCCCTTTGACATACCTGACATGTCTCCACGTAGAGTTGGGCATCTCGCATCATCGTGGGCCACCAGAACCGCTGCAATATATTCGCTGCGGTCTTCTTGTACCCAAAATGGCCGGTGGCATCATGTCACTCACCTAAAAACAAACTATGCAAAGACTCTCTATTTGGAACACACAATCGTTTATTCCGTTCGTTCTCAAGGAATAGCAAGCCGTTGACCAACTAAAACTCGACAGAAGTCTTTTTGTCCTTCGCCTCTAGTCTGCGTAGGATCTCAGACATAAACTTGTCCTCGCGAAAGGCTTCCACCAAAGAGCGAGTCACATCGTTCGTCAGATCGAACTCAGTTATCAGCGCACCTGAGAAATCAGGTCTACGCGACAAGGCATCAACAACCTTGTTGTACTCCCCTTTCAGATACTGCGGGTCAAAGTCATACTGCTCAATGACTTTGATCCAACGCTTCAAAGCGTCGGAAAGCACCGGCTGAGTTTTCATCCATCTCGGAGTCTGATGATAAGTTCTGAGGATGAAGAACCTCCCAAGGAGATAGTGCTTCCAATGGGTCTGAGCCTTGTACACCACATAGATTTCCTTCTCATAGGTGGACTTTGCCAACTTCTGAGACGACATTTTCTTGGACTTGTACTCGACTGGCCTCAACTTTGGCCCCTCGTGCTGCGCAAGCACGGCGCCAATGCCATATTGGTTGGCATCCGTGGTAACTACAAATGGCTTGTCAGGATCGGGAAGTTTCAAGACCTCATAGTGCGTCAACACATGCTTCAGATGTCTGAAAGCAGCCTCACACTTGTCTGTCCACTCCCATGGGGCGTCAAGGCGGGTCAGATCAGTCAAAGGGGCGGCCACTATGCTATAGTTCTTAACGAAAGTCCGATAGTAGGCTGTCATCCCTAAGAAAGATCTCATCTCAGTCACAGACTGAGGTCGCGGCCAATCACGAATGCTGGCCACCTTCGCGTCATCAGGCGTCAACCCTTCCGCAGAAATCTCATGACCCAAGTACAAGATACGGGTGCGGCCAAATTCGCACGTGTCACCGTTAATCTTGAACTTGTGCTGAGGAAGGAGCCCAAGGACTTTATCTAGATGTGCCACGTGCTCCTCGACAGTCCTACTAAAGATAAGTATGTCATCGAGGTACACGATAACAAACTTGTCTAAGTAGTCATGAAAAATCTGATTCATGGTGTGCTGAAAGGTGCCAGGAGCATTGCACAGGCGAAATGGCATCACCACAAACTCGTACAGACCGTACCTGGTCTGAAAGGCGGTTTTGTGCTGATCCTCAGGCCGGATTGCAATCTGATGATTGCAATCTGATGGTACCCGGACTTCAGGTCTATCTTACTGAAGTACCGACACCCTCGCACTCTATCAAGCAAATCGTCGATGCACGGTAGGGGCTCCCTGTTCTTCACTGTGATGGCACTGAGGCCCCTATAATCATTGCACATCCTCAAAGTGTCTCCCTTCTTAGGAACAAATAGGACAGGAGACCCATAAGGAGAGACACTCGGCCGGATCCAACCCTTCTCTATGAGTTCCTTGAGTTGGCGGCGAAGCTCATCAAGCTCGCCTGGAGACATCCTATAGATCCTACCCTTGGGGATGCTAGACCCTGGGATAATCTCTATAGCATGGACGGCCTCCCTCTCAACAACCCCTGTTGGCTCTTCAAATAGATTAGGGTATTTGGCAACTACTCCGCTATCTCCGATGACATTTTCACCGGCTCGTCTGCAGCAGAGACGTAAACTAGATACATACCCTCCTCTAGATGTTGCTTAGAATAATTATAGAATGCGGCCGCACACATGCATCTGTGAGACTCAATCAGACTACTAGCTTTGTACTTATGTAATTTGGCGGTCCCTCCACTTGGCAAAGTGTGTTTGACCACTTTTCGATCCCAGTCGAACTGGGGTTGTGCAACCAAGAGGTAGTACATACCTAACAAGATGTCCATTGGGAGATTGTCGCTCACCAGGAATGAGACACGATGCCTCAATTCCCCTCCCGCGTACGGGAACAGGCACTCAACGTCGTGAAGGTAGTCGTTAACTACCATGGCAACTCGTTGGTCCCTTTCCCATGCCCGAAGTGCACACAGTCCCATGCGGTTCTTGCTTGGCTGGACGAGGACTACCTAGGACTGGGACTGCTGACTCAGCACGGGTAGACTCCACCACTTGACTCGCCACTTGCCCACTTGCCTCAGCCTAACAGTGGGGAACTCCGAAAGGCCACTCCTAGGAACTTCCGGAAGGCCGTAGACTTCGCCTTTCGTGACTGTAGCAGCTACGACTTTGCCCCTTCGTGACTGTAGCAGCTACGACCTTGACCTTTCGAGAAGCTTCAGCTACGACTTCTAGACCTGACTAGGACTCCTACTCGGCATGTCTACAAATCGAACCCCTACTACCTATAGACCCTACGATGACGACCTACCAACTGTTACAAATACACAGGTTGCGGGTTCAACTCTAGGGGTCGACACAAATACTGTACATACGTAAGGTGGGGACTAGGGATCGAGCCCTGGAACCTGCATCAGCTACTGCGAACTGGTGAATACCGTTTCACTCCCGCCGGCCTAAATTCGAGGTCCTTCGAGAACAACTCAATCCAAGGTAGGACCTTCACCTTTCTGATCTCTTTCGTAGGCTCTAACGATATCGGGAGCTGTGTCTAGAAGTTCTGATCTCGTGAACCAGCGGTCATCCTCCGGTTCCTGATATGCAAACCGGACCTTATATTGCTTCTGTGGACGACCTCTACCTCCCGTCCTAAACACATCTTCACCTACAATGCCGTCAATGTCATATCTTTCGTCCATGTCCGGAGGGATCATGGACCGTCTAGAGGGAAACTGCTGACTTGTGACACACGGCAACGACTTTGAGGCGTGAAATACAGGGTAGGTGTGGAGGTGTGTTGGGATCTTGATAGTGTAGGACGACCCATCCTCTCCGCCCTTAACTTCTAGAACTGGCCACGATCCTCTATATGCGGGCAGTAACTTCTGCGAGATGTTCTCCTCAGGTGCAAACTCTTTAGACTTGACCCTGACCAAGTCGCCTACCTGAAACTGCGATGGGCGTCGGTGCTTATTAGCCTGTTCTATCATCCGGTGTTGGGCTTTTCTGAGGTTCTCAACAACAGTTGTTATCTCTTTCTCATGCTGTATTGCGAACTCCCTGGTACCGGGCGGTAGCCTGTGAATCTGATCCTGGTTCAGTCCTTCAAACGGTCTACGTGGTCTAAAGGACTTGCGTAACTCGTTGGTAGAGCGACAGGTAGACAGATGTACGCTGTTATTGTATGCGCTGGCTACCTTGGGTAACATCTCGTCCCAGTTGATCTGATTGGGTTTAATGTACATGCGCAAAACTTGCTGCAGGATCTTGTTCATCTGCTCTGTCTGACTGTTGGTCTTTGGATGGCGGCCAGACAACATCAACAACTTAGATCCATAGACTCTCATGAGTTCTTGCCAGTTCTGGCTGGTAAAGCGACTATCTCTATCGCTAACTATGGACAACGAGACTCCATGCTCGCTAAACCAAAAGTCAAAGAACTTTTGTATTACTCACTCTGTGCGTGCCTCTGCAGGCAAAGGAACAAAAATAGCATACTTGCTAAACCTATCAACTACGACCATGACTTGGCTCTTGTCGTGTCTACTTTTGACACCGGCATCCATGAAGTCAATGGATCTTGAATCCCCCGGCTGGTCTGGAATGGGCAAGGGTCTGAGAAGACCCAGAGGGGCACGCGTAGTAGTCTTGTTTCTTTGTCAGACCTTACAAATGCGGACATACTCTATGCAATCGTTTTTCATTCCTGGCCATGTGTACGCGTGCATAAGGTTGGCTAATGTCTTCTGCTAACCGAAGTGTCCCTCTGTATCATGGCATTCCCCTAGGATCAGACTGCAAATTTCCTCATTGTTGGGAATGCATAGGCGGTCAAATACATTAGTCTTCTCGAATAGCAAACCCTCTGTAGTGCGGTAATCTGGCTCAGTTTCTGGGGCCTCCTTAACTTTCTTAAGGAGGTCACTATAGATGGGGTCCTGCGCTTACGCCTGTCTAACTTTCTCTTGCAGGTCACTCCCTATGTCCAGATAGTGAACTATGGCTCCGAAGTAGTCTGATCTCCGACTCAGAGCATCCGCAACTACATTATATTTGCCCTTAACCGGTTTGAGCTCAAAGTCATACTGGGCTATTTCAGCGGCCCACCTAGTCAACTTAGGTGTCATTTTGGCCTGTCTTCAACCATCTAAGAGTCTCGTGGTCGGAGTACACCTTGAAGTGCCTCCCAAGCAGGTAATGCTTCCAGTGCTCTAAAGCCTGTCTGAGAGCGTAGAGTTCTCTCTCGTACGTCGAGGTAGCAACCTTCTCTGAGGGCATCCTCGCTGACATGAACTCTACGGGTCTGTAGCCATTGTTGTCGTCTTGCTGTAACACGACGCCTATACCATACTAACTCGCGTCCGTGGTGACGACAAATGGCAAAGACGGATCTGCTACTTTGAGGACAGGATACTCTATTAATGCGCGCTTTAATTTCTTTAGCGCAGACGTACAGTCTTTATCCCACTGCCAGATTACTTCTCTCTTAAGCAACCTGCGCAAGGGAGCGGTGATAATGGAGAAGTTCCTCACGAACTTCCTGTGGTAGTTAGCTAGGCCTAAGAATGACCGCAACTCTATCAATGTGCGGAGCGTCGGCCAGTCTCTAATTGTCGCGATCTTACTATCCTCTGGCTTAATGCCATCTCCGTCTAACACGTGGCCCAAGTACAAAACCTGTGTCTTGGCCCACTCGCCCTTCTTCGCATTGATCTTGAAGTTCGACTCTCTCAATTTCTCCAAGACCTGCCTCAAATGACCTTGGTGCTCTTGGAGGGTCCTACTGAAAACTAGGATGTCGTCTAAATAAACTACGACAAACCTATCTAACCAAGGCCTAAACAGATCGTTCATACATCGCTGAAACGTAGTTGGCGCATTGGTCAGTCCAAAGGGCATAACTATGAACTCATAATGCCCGTACCTAGCCCGGAACGCAGTCTTGTACTGGTCATCAGGATGGACTTCTATCTGATGATAACCGGACTTCAAATCTATCTTTGAAAGATCCTTGCAACCCTGCACCCGATCTAAGAGATCGTCTATCCTGGGCAGTGGTTCAACATTCTTAACAGTAATCGCATTCAGACCCCGATAGTCTATGCACATGCGCAACTCTCCTTCCTTCTTGCGGATAAACAAAACAGGTGCTCCAAAAGGAGACGAACTGGGCCTACTCCAACCTTTCTCAAGGAGCTCGTCCAACTGCTTGCGCAGCTCCTCTAACTCTCTAGGGAACATCCTGTAGACTGCTCCCTTAGGAGTTCTACTGCCAGGCTCTATCTCTATCCTGTGCTGGATCGGTCGCGGCACTACTCCTGTCGGCGGCTCTGAGAGATCGTTAAACTCTTCCAGCAGCTTGGCAATGGTTGGATCTGTGGAACTATCCCCTTCCTTAGGCTCAATGACAGGTCTAACATACACTACAAAGACCTGGTTTTCTAATTGCTCCTTTTTCACTAGCGCGAACGCGAGAGCACTGAGGCAGCAATGTGCCAAGGAGTTGTCTACTCCTGACACATGGACCAGGCGAGCAGTCTTAACTTCGCCTGACGGACTAGGGAGCCTACACTCATGCTCTCTCAAATGGAGTGTGGCCCCTGCTGCCTCTCCCAAGTCCATGCCTAGGACTATGTCAAATGGAAGGTCATCCTGTACGAGGAGAGTCAGGGAATGGAGAACTTTCTCCACCTTCCCATCCTTCTCTAGGCGAAAGTACGCCTGGACTCCACGTAGTCCTGAACACGCATAGTGTGGTTGTCTGCGAGGACACTGACTATGGGGTCTGCCAACTTTTGGACTTTCAATCCTAGCCTCAGCTTCTTCAACGCTTTATGGCTAATATAACTACGGGTAGCCCCTGAATCTATAAGGGTTCCTACTCTACTCCTGAACACCTCTACATCAGCTAAGATTAGTTGTCCCTTACTCTCCTTCTTCATTTTGGCCCAGGTTGGCATCCTCTCTTTCAACTCTTCTGCCACGCCTGTGAGGGAAGTGCCTAGAGAGACGCTAACACAAGCAATCTCCGGACAACTAGCTAGGCATTGGCCTGCAACCTCTGCCATAGGCTCATGTGGTGTGGGAGTTACCTGTCCGCGCGCGCTCGCTTCCCCACATGGCCTTAAAGTAGGGGCAGTTGCGACCCCTACTGGCGGCTGCCTTTTGACTGTTGGGCAGCCCATCGGGCCTGTCTATATATACTTAGGACAAAATTTAATTACATGGGCCGGGTCACCACAAAACACGCACTGACCCAAGTCCACGCGTTCTTGCCATACGCGCTGGTCCAAGCCCAAATCTTCCCATGGCCTGCCCTGCGGCAAGCCTAGGTGCCATCCTCCTGATTGTTGAGGTGGCCTTCCACCTCGTCGCTGTGGGGACCGACTGGGACCTTGGCGATTTGGCGGGGGACCTTGACCCCTACCTCCCGCTTGGCGGTTCCCTTTACCACCAACCCCCTGTGCGTGCGATCCTCGGCCTCCCATGGCCTGGCCCCTTTGGCCCTGGCCTCCTCCCCTACCTTGCGGCCTCCCTCCAGCCGCGACAACAACATAAGACCTCCCTTGTCCTAAGCTACTGCCCTCCTCCTCTAGCCCCCACTCAATCTCACTGTAGGGGACTTCATCTGTACCACCTTCCACTACAGTAAGGATCATATGATCCTTAGCCCTGACTTGGCCTGAGATGGTATGGCCTTTCCACTTTTTGCCGTTGTCTAAGTCTTTGTGCCAGAAAGTGGAAACTGGCATAGACTTGGCCTCAAACAAGACCACTTCCCTACTCAACGAATCGTACGTGATGTTGGGCTGTTGAGTCTTGTCGAAAAAGTGCCCTCTCAGGGGCTCTCGCATGGCACGATAAAATAACTGGACCAATTGGGTCTCTGTGACCCCGTGGTCCGGGACGGCCACCAAGTCGTCCATGACAGCTTTGAGTGCTTTCGCACTCCTCCACTGCCGCGAGTGAATGGTCTGAAGCTTATCAGAGGCCCTAACGCCTCTCGCGGGATCAGCAAATCGCTCCCTCAGGAGTTTGAGGAACTGGGGAAGTGAGGTGGTCTTTGAGTATGCAACCATGTTGTTTTCACAACCGGCTGCGCGCAAGGGACCTAGCAAAACTGGCTGCTTCATCTTTCAGGGTCTGGAAGGCTACGAGGACTTGTTCCTCAGACAATATGTGTTGTAGGTATACATAGTTGTTAACACTAGCCTCCCAATTGTCAAAATTCTCCTCCTTCCCGCCGCACGCGTCAGGAAATTTGAGCTTGACAGGGTCCTTGCGGGGACGTGCTTCGGCTTCTGCTGCAGCCACTACTTTGGCGCCCTCAATGGCGCCAACATAGAACTGCTGTGCGCTTTCCTTCATCTTTTTGACCTCGGTCGCGACGTGAGTCACCACGTCGCGCGCGAACTCCCTGAACCCAGATCGGATGGCGTGCAGGGTCACATCTTGACCCTTGACGGCCTGATGTTCCTCTACCCAAGGCCTTGCTCAAGACTTCTAGGTACCCCAGGATCTTATCTAATTTGGCGGGGACCCTCTCTACAGGCTTGAATCTTCTCAACTTCTTCCGCCGCCCTATTAGCCTCCTCTCTCCTCCTCTTCTTCTCCCTCATCATTCTCAGTTTCCACTCCATCTTCTTCTCATCCTCTGTTGTTTGGCGTTTCAAGGGGTCTTCTATCGTCTCCAATTCCCTGGCAAACACTTCCTTCTCCTCTTGCGGCACGTATATTTGTGCCTCCTCATCCTTCCCTAACGATAAGTTAGCCACCCACTCTCTAATCTTCTTCTCCATCCATGCATCTTCCCCTGTTGTGCCACTTGTCTCACCTTTGTCTCCCCCACTTCTCCTCTCAAGGGGTTCTTCTTCCTCCCTCTCTATCATCATCATCTTCTCTTTCTGGAACCGCAACATCTCCTCCTCCAATCTCTTCTTCTTTACCGCCTGCTCCTCCTCGATGGCCTTTAACTTTGCCTGCTTAAGGAGCTCTCTCTTCTCTTTCCTCTCCTTCAGGATGGCGGCAATCCGGGCCTGCTCGGCCTCGGCGGGGGCAGTACCCTTCAACCATGGTGATTGGTGCACAACCAACAACGATTCCACTCCTCACCACTTAAGACTCTACTCCCCCTAATTGACACACTGACTGACTCAATCTAAGACTTACAGAATCCGGACAGGATCCTCCCAACTACGGTCTCTAGCCTAGACCTACTCTAAGGCTGTCACTACTAGACCTGTTGCTGATCAGGAGGCATTTAAGGAGATCCCCCGTAACTCCTCAGGAATTCTTTAACGTCGCAGACAGGACGACGCGATCAGCAGGTCTCTCAACACTTAGACTGCCTGTTGTGCAGCCCACAACTCAACTTTTCGGGCCTACCGTGCCACACCGAGCAGCCCGCCGATCTGTACCGGTCCTTGGGAGGGTTCGTGTCCTCGTTGGTCTGGCCCTTTCCCATGCCCGAAGTGCACACAGTCCCATGTGGTACTTGCTTGGCTGGACCAGGACTACCTAGGACTGGGGCTGCTGACTCAGCACGGGTAGACTCCACCACTTGCCTCGCCACTTGCCCACTTGCCTCAGTCTAACAGTGGGGAACTCCGAAAGGCCACTCCTAGGAACTTCCGAAGGCCGTAGACTTGGCCTTTCGTGACTGTAGCAGCTACGACTTTGACCCTTCGTGACTGTAGCAGCTACGACCTTGACCTTTCGAGAAGCTTCAGCTACGACTTCTAGACCTGACTAGGACTCCTACTCGACAGGTCTATAGATCGAACCCCTACTACCTATAGACCCTACGTCGACCTACCAACTGTTACAAATACACAGGTCGCGGGTTCAACTCTAGGGGTCGACACAAATACTGTACATAGGTAAGGTGGCGACTAGGGATCAAGCCCTGGAACCTGCATCAGCTACTGCGAACTGGTGAATACCGTTTCATGTGCTCTAATCAATCAATAAAGACTAATCCGCTACTTAGTCCCCGCACACGTGTCAGATCAGGTTGTCCTGATTCACGTGCGGTGCCCCGATACCAACTGTTACATGCCCCGATGGGCGATGTACATAATAACCGAGGATCCGCAATGTGATAAAAAGGACTGAATGAACAATGCTGTGTAAGTGGAATCTCAACTAGCAATGTGCATTCCGATACATACAAAATGGTGTCAAATAGCGCAGGGAAGATTTAGATACAAGACCTGACCTGAGCGAGACTGACCTGTACCACATAGTACAAGACAGCGAAGCAGAATGCTAGAATACTGATGACTAGCCCAATCAATGTTTCATCGTAGACCAAACATACATCATGCTCATCACAAGGTGTGAAGGAGTCTGGCGCTGTACACAGGAAGGAAGCGACAGGTCCAGACATTCGCAGACGAAGAGGAGGGGATCAGACGAAGAGGAGAGCGAGAGATGGGAATGTCGTCAACACCAAGTCTTTGTCACGAGTCCCAAATAATCCCTCGTTGCAATATCTGAAGCACAAAAGTCGAGTCTGGATCCAATGTCACCAAGCTCTCTCTCTCCTCTCTCGTAGTCTGCTGATTCAGTGAAGTCAGATGATGAGAGGGTGAGAGGGAGATGGTGGACTGAGAAGAGGAAGAAGAAGAACTCTCTCTCTCTGTTACGAGCCAGGTACTAACCTGTGAACTTGGCGCTGTGCTGCAGGTACCTTGAAGACGAAGCTGGAGCAACGGCGCTGCAGGTAAGTACCTCTGGCCTCCGCCCAATCTCTCTCTCTCTATTACATGCTGCGCGTGCACACGCAGGCCATTTTGCAGGCCTGCGTCCTTCAGGCCAAAAGCCTGAACTTCAGGCCGAAAGCCTGAAATCCAGGGCTTACAGGCCCCATGTCGGATCAGCCCGAAAGCCTGAATTCCAGGGCCTATCCCTGTGTCGTTTCAGACTAAAAATGGCAACAGCCTTTTTAGCCTRAAACGAAGGGCCATTTTCGGTCGTTCATCAGAACTACCGGCCCTGAAACTCAGGCACCGAACCAGGGTTTCGGGAACAGACTATTATTAGTCTGTTTCCCACGCCAGCCTCAGCAGGCTGCTGCACGCCAGCCCYTGRCACACTTCGGCATTGGCAAGAGCTGCCTCCTCGGCCTGACTCGCCSTCCAGTAGTCAGGAGGCAGGCCGAGGTAGTACATAGGACTTCCCAGGCACTTCCCAGGTGGGCAGTCGGCAGTTRTAGTCTTCAGGATTCGGGAGCAGCACTCTGGAGGGAGCGCTGCAGTGTAGTAGTAGTAGCGTTAGCTTGTAGTCTTCAGCGCTGGGCGCAGTAGGTAGCTGTAGTCTCCAGCGCTGGGCGCCATAGCTAGGTAGTACTAGAGAGAGAGAGAGAGAGCTTGGGCGGAGGCCAGAGGTACCCACCTGCAGCGCCGTTGCTCCAGCTTCGTCTTCGAGGTACCTGCAGCACAGCGCCAACATCACAGGTTAGTATCTAGTTCATAACAGTGAGAGAGAGAGAGAGTTCTCTTTCTTCCTCTTCTCAGTCCACCATTCTCTCCCTCTCAACTTCTGACTTCCCTGCATCTGTAGACTACGAGAGAATAGAGACAAAGCTTGGTGACATTCGGATCCAGACTCGACTTTGGGACTTCAGACATGGCAACGAGGGATTATTTGGGATTGGTGACAAAGGCTTGGTGTTGACGACATTCCCATCTCTCTCCCTCCTTTCGTCTGATCCCTTCCTCTTCGTCTGTGTATGTCTGGACCTGGCGCTTTCTTCCGGTGTACAGCTCCAGGCTCCTTCACACCTGGTGATGGGTACGATGCATGTTTGGTCTGAGTTCAAACATCGATTGGACTAGTTATTAGTATGCTAGCATTCTGCTTCACTACTTTGTACCTACGTGAGTGAGGTCAGTCCCTGTCAGGTCAGCCTTTGTATCTAAGTCTTCCCTGCGTTTTTCAGCACCTTTTGGATGTATGATAATGCACATTGTCTGTCGAGATTCTACTCACACTACATTGTCCATTCAGTCCTTTTCATCACATTGCAGTTCCTCGGTTATTACGAACATCACATATCTGTGCATGTAACAGTTGGTATCGGAGCTTTGCACGTGAATCAGGACAACCTGATCTGACACGTGTGCGGGGACTAATTAGCTAGTTAGTCTTTATTGATTGATTAGAACACGATAGTTAGACCCCAAAATCACGATTTTGACCTTACTACCGAAAATCGAATTTTTTTTCTTTTTTTCTTGGATTTTATTTTCTCGCTATTCTGCTGTGGAAAATCGCAATATCGCAACATCTGAAATTCCGATTTTCGTTTTTTTTCTGAAAATTCAAAATTTGGCTGTTGAAAATCCGAAATATTTTTCTTTTCGAAAATTTCGATTTCCTGTTCCATTTCCCGTTACTTAGAAATTCGGAATATTTCTTTTTTGAAATTCGTTTTTCTAAAAACGGTACGGGAAATACCTCCTGCGGTATTATTCTTCAAACTGCGAATATGCTCATCAGAATAAATCCGAATACTTGTCATTTCTGTTCAGAATTTTTCTTTCGCAATTCAGTCTTTAAATCATTGGCAGTCTAAAGTCGATTTTTTTTTTCTCTTTCAGTGATCATTTCGCACTTCAAGGGAGGTTGGGGGAACTACCGAACTTGCAAAAATCGGGATTTTTTATTTTTCTCGAAATTTTTTTGCAAAGTTCAAACTTTTCTGTTTTTATTAGTGGCTCCTTACCGAAGTGTGAGTTGGGCGATTATCCCACCCACCCCTCCCCGCCTATGTTGTTGCCATCCCTCGCCTTTCCGTTTCTGTTTGTATCCGGGTACCCCCTGCGGCGGCATTGGTGAGTTGCCACGTCAGCAGACCACGTCAGCAGGCCACGTCAGCAGACTACGTCAGTACGTCAACAGGCCACGTCAGCAGGCTACGTCAGCAGGCCACGTCAGCAGGCCACGTCAGCTGTGCCACGTCAGCAGCAAGGGATACCACATCAACAGGCCCCCGCTCCGGTCTATGCTGTTGCGATCTCAAACAGCAGTCATGGACCAGAGGCCCGGGGAAGCAGACGAGGCCTATCAGGCCCGCATGCTGGCCTAGAGTACCGAGCCAAAGAAACGGGCAGATGATGCTGCAGCAGCAGCGAAGAAGAAGGCAGAAGATGCCGAGCAGGCACGTTTGCTGGCACTTGAACAGCAGCGCCAGCATGACGAGGCAGCAGCAAGGGCTGCCGATGAAGAAAGAACCCAGCGTCGTGAGAAGATATTTACCGGAGAGCGGGCGTTACTTACCATGGCAGCGGAATGGCGGACCGAGGCCGAGAATAGCCAGTTGGAGGATAGCGCAAACAAGATAGCGCTCCTCCTCTCGCATCTCACGGATCTTCTGGCAACCTGCATTACACAGCAGGCGGAGATCCTTGGTCTCGACAGCTCGCTGGCTCACGTCCAAGACCGCCTTCAGCGGTTGGAGCAGCGACTAGTCGTCGCCGCCAACGCAAGCTCTTCCAATACTGTCGACCGCCTCAATGCATTGGAGATGCACGTCGGCTCCCTCCAGGACGGCGCACAGTTACAGCACACCGCGGCGCAACAGTTGCAGCAGCGGGTCTGTACCACCGCCAATACCTCGAGTATGGAGCCGCGCGAGACAACTCCAAAGTTTGACGGGCAGGAGATGTTCTGCGACTTTAATGAAGACAGATCCGAGCTCATGCTGCAGCTGTCCAACGTCAAAGAACACAAGCACCACGCATACTTGTACTCTCGTTCAGGGGGCGCGTGCCAGGCTTGGTTGGACAACCTCTTGTCCAAGTACGGAGTAGTGGCAGCCGGCTTGCACACCAAGATTAGTTGGGATGATCTGAAGGCGGCGTGGCACAAGCGGTTCCAGGTGGAGCCGCCAGAGATCAAAGCCATGGACAAGCTCATGGTCTTCGAACAAGGCACGCTGCCGAGTACAGACTGGATCGCCGAGTACCAACGCTTGACGTGAGTCCCAGACATCCAGATGGGCTTCAAGGCCATCCGCCATTACTTCATCTCAAGGTCATGTCCGGCATTAAGCAATGCCCTGACTCATGTCGAGGACACCTTGACGACGATGGCGGAGTTGTTCGACAAGGCTGCGCAGATCATTATCACGAACAAGGAGGCCGAGAACCTCCGTTCATCTGCGTCAGGCCCGAGCAGGGACCAGCATCGGCCAAGAGTGGCCATGGTCGCAGCGGCAGCGCCGTTAGACCAAACCAGCGAGGCTGTGTCTGCCAGTGAAGGGGACAGATTCGCAGCCGCCCGGGAATGTGGCCGCCCCGACAGAGGCCGAGGACGCGGCAAAACGAAGACACACACCGCATCTAGCCCCGGGCCCGGCAGCAGCTCAGACAAGCCCATGGACCCAGTATGGCATCTCCGAGTCCGCATTCAAGGCGCGCGAGAGATTCCACTATTGCCTTTGGTGCAACAGCGATCTTCATCAGACGCAGGGTTGCCCATTGAAAGGCAAGGGCAGACAGGGAAACTGAGCACCGCCGAGAGTGACTCGACGACACTCTCGAYGCCTTCGGAACCGGTTTCTTCGCAAGTAACCGGCCTTCATTCCGAGGCGCACGTGGAAGTCGATAGTCCTCCTCTTCTGTTTTCTTTTGAGGACTATGCTGCCCGACTCGTTCCTACGCTGGGTACTCGAATCTCAAGGACAAGAGATGTGTGCGGTTTCTTCTCCGTCCGGCAACGGCGACATTTCGTCTTCAAGTGGTTCTTCACGGGACTCGGCACACGAGTTTAACATAGAGGCATTGGACCCGCTCACATCTGAGGACTTCGCATGGCTTCCTCTCCCGACCACAGGCCGCTTGCTGGGACCGCAATGCGCAACACTTAGCGCTAATCTTCACACTTACTTATCCTTCTATGCACCACCAACTTCGCCGACGGATGACGAAGTTGCGGTGGGGGATATCCTGGCATGTACTACCAAGGTGGTCCGCGAGTTTCGCACGCAGCTGTACGACGACAACAACGCACTGCTCATGTATATCCGCATTCAGGTTGGGCAAGCGTCCTGCACCGCTTTGCTGGCTAGCGGCACGTCTCGCAACTTCATGAGCCAATCCTTTATGCAAAGGGCTGGCCTTGGCGCACAAGTTCAAAGGAAGGCAAACCCGACAGCGATCAAGTTGGCGGATGGAAAAACGCAACAACTTCTCGACCGTTACATCGAGGCCGTACCGGTCTACTTCGCACCTCATGCATGCGAACCGGTGACATTCAATATTCTCGACACGGACTTCGACATCATTCTGGGAATGCCTTGGCTTGCAAGTGCGGATCACACGATCAACTTCCATCGGCGGACTCTTAGCGTTCGCGATGCCTTCGGCGCGGAAGTGGTGTGTACTATTCCTCTACCTCACTCTTCGATCCCGTGCCAAGTGGTGACGGCCAAATCATTCCGGGCGACTTGCGCTTACGAGCAGCCCGAGGAGGTCGGCCTATGTTTCCTACGGACCGTCGCGGTAGCCGACTCTTCACCCACGGACTTGTCTTCGGACCCCCGTGTGGTGCGGTTGCTGGACGAGTTCGCCGAGATCTTCGAGTCACCTACCGGTGTGGTGCCGGATCGGCCGATCTCTCACGAGATCATTCTTGAGGCCGGTGTCGTGCCGCCGTAAGGTTGCATCTATCGGATGAGCGAGGAGGAGTTTGAGGTCCTCCGTGCACAACTCGACGATTTGTTGGCCAAGGGCTGGATCCGCCCGAGCAGCTCCCCATATGAAGCACCAGTTCTCTTCGTCAGGAAGAAGAACAAGGATCTACGATTGTGTATCGATTACCGCGCAATCCGTCAAGAATGCGGGGCCTCTTCCTCGCATCGACGATCTTCTTGAGCGACTGGGCGGCACAAAGTATTTTTCAAAGTTGGATTTGAAATCGGGATATCATCAAATCTCGATCCAGCCGAACGATCGCTACAAGACCGCATTCAAGACGCGGTATGGGCATTTTGAGTGGGTGGTCATGCCTTTTGGCCTCAACAACGCCCCGGCGACCTTTCAGACGGCGATGACCAATGAGTTCCGTGCAATGTTGGACCGGTTCGTGCTGGTCTACTTAGACGATATTCTCGTCTATAGTCGGTCATTGGAGGATCATCTGGGTATCTTCGACGAGTGTTGGAGACGCTCCGCCGCGCCAAGTACATGGCCAACCGCGACAAGTGTGAATTTGTCCGGCAAGAGCTGGAATACTTGGGCCATTTTGTCACACCGGAGGGCATCGGTCGGCTATCGGACAAGATTCAAGCCATCCAAGAGTGGCCGGARCCTCGGAACGTCACGGATGTTCGTTCGTTCCTTGGTCTCGCCGGTTACTACCAGCGTTTTATCAAAGGCTACTCGAAGATCGTGGCCCACTTGACCAAACTTCAATGCGAGGATTGGCCATTTGACTTCGGAGAGGAGGCGCGGGAATCATTTTTTGCTCTCAAAGCCGCGCTATTGCCTGCGGAGGTCTTGCGGATATACGACCCGCTCGCGCCTACACGCGTCACTACGGATGCGTCAGGCTATGGCATTGGTGCAATCCTCGAGCAACATGATGGTGTGGACTGGCACCCGATCGAGTACTTCAGCAAGAAAGTGCCCCTCGTGCATTCCATTGACGATGCACGCAAGAAGGAGCTCCTCGCCTTTGTCCACGCGCTCAAGCGGTGGCGGCACTTCCTCCTTGGTCGAAGCCAATTTCGCTGGGTAACGGACAACAATCCGTTGGTCTTCTACAAGACCCAAGACACCGTCAACAGCACCATCGCTCGATGGATGGTTTTCATCGACCAGTTCGACTTCTTTCCCGATCACATTCCCGGGAAGTCGAACCATTTTGCGGATGCTCTTTCACGGCGTCCGGATCCTTGTACCGCGGTCCACTCAACCTTCGAGATCGACGACGACCTGCGAAATAGCTTCATCCGCGGCTACCAAGCCGACCCCGAGTTTCGCAACAAGTACGCGAATTGCTCCTCTCCTAATCCGGCTCCTTCTCACTACCGGATCCAAGAGGGGTACTTGCTTGTCCACACGCGGGGGAAGGACCTTCTTTGCGTACCGAGTGATCCTCGCTTGCGTACACGGCTTCTTGGCGAGTTCCACGACGCTCCCGCCACTGGACACTTCGGAGTTAATCGCACGATTGGCCGATTTCGCCAGCGATTTTGGTGGCCCGGCCTTCTCGGCGACGTCACGCACTATTGCGAGTCATGCGAGGTTTGCCGACGCTGCAAATCCCGCAACCATCGTCCGTACGACGAGTTACGACCATTGCCAGTCCCGTTGCGGCGAAGGGAAGCGATTGCCATGGACATTACCGGCCCATTCCCCAAGCACAAGACCGGAGTGGATGGGATTCTCACGGTGGTCGACCGACTCACCAAGTTCGCCATGT